CATGGCTTGAAAAATCTACAATATGGAAGAAGATCGTATAAACAACAACAATAAGCAACTTATACAAAAAAGTATAGAACATCCAGAACGAAATTTGCATCCTTAATTGTAACATGCAATAAAAAAACAAAACATAATAAATTTTAATAATTTTATTAATTGTTAATTTGAGATATCTTACTTATACTCTTCAGCTTTGTCGATATGCACAGAACTACTTAAGATTATTTCAATATCTTCTGGTTCTTTCAAGAAGACTGCTGCTTTTGAACCTATATATGCAGATACTACACGTCCACACATGTCAAAATAATAAAGACCTCTCTGCATTACATTTTCGGGAACTTCTCCGAGAGTTAGTAATGCATGACCTAAAATAGGTACGGATGGTGGATCTAAAAAAAAAAAAGAAAGTTATTGTAGAACAATATAATAAACAATATAAAGCAAAAATCAGTGCTAATGAAGATTACAAACGAGAAAATATATATTCGAGTTAAAAGTTAAATCTTTTCTTTTTATTATTAATATGTGTACATACTTGGTATTTTCTTTATCATTCGAATTGTTCGAGATCTTTCGACGTAATAATAAGCTACTATTAAAGCTGTGACCAGCGTAGCCAGCAGAGAAAAAGTTGCGATCGAAAGATAAGATGTTGACGTTACTGGATCTACGTCCATTGCAACGTCTATTGTCTTGTGACAACGATGTAACCACTTATTCCTCACTTTTTTTCGTACAACTCACTAATTAATTATAATGTTGGCATTAAAAGATACAAGAAATCAAATTTAGAGTAACAGTACTTTAACAGAAATATTTTATTTGCTATTGGCAATTGAAGAAACATTAACTACCGCTAGACGGTGAATGCGTTCTGATCTGCTCGCAATATTGCTCGATATTTTATAAGCTAGTAGTTCGGAAGAATCTACGTATTTGGTCTCACTTTCAATTATACAGTGACCTCAATATCACATTGTTAGTTCATTTACATCACGTGAATAATCATTGATTGGATGAGAATATTGCGTCACGCATTCAATATCAAATTTATATTAATGTTTATTAATGTGAAAATATTCCTCTAATCATTACATAGCGGTAAATGCAACTTTTTTAATAAATAACAGGAAATCGCTCGATTGTAAACCAAGTGCATCGATAAAATCAGAAATATAGCAACATTTTATGTTTTTATGACGTACCAGAAAGTAACGGAAATTATTGGTGCACCGTAATCAATGTTAATTGATCTTGCTTTTAATTTTGAATTAACGCAAATTACCGCAATATGACGGTGACAGATGTCAACAGCACGACGATAAATACGTCCACCATCAACAACGCTGACGTAATAAAATAAAAATAAAGAGAAGAGTGCAACCGCAAAGATGGAAGAACCGATAAACGAAGAGGCTGAAATTACTTTAGAAGATTTGGCGCCAGACGGTGGCTGGGAATGAATGATTGCACTGGCAATGATATTAATTCTCGTTAGTATAATAATAATAATACATAGCTATAATAGTGTTTTAGTTATTAAACAGATATATGTATCACTCTTTAT